AAGGTCCAGATCATGACTCCTCTGGGAAGCAGTGACCATGCAGTCATAGGTTTCGATCTTGTCCTCCGTGAGCGTTTGCAATGGGATGTTACGCGACCATGTCTGTGCTACAGCAAGGCTGACTATGCTGAAATGCGGAGGCTCTTGTCCGACGCAGACTGGCCCTTAGCATGGGACGACCTATCTGTGGATGAACACTGGGAAGTGGTAAAAAAGATTATCCATAAGCAATCTCGGATACCGTCCCTTTAGTCACAACACAGCCTAAGAGAAAGACGTCATGGTTGAAGAGAGGCACGCAACGTATTCTGCAAGCAAAGCGGAAGGCTTGGTTTACGTGGCGTGTATCTAAGAGTCAGACCGACCATGATGCATACCTCGAACTCAGGAACCGGTGTAATGCAAGAGTCAGGAGGGACAGAAGGTCATTCCAGGCTAACCTTGCTAAAAAACTCCTATCAAACCCTAAAAACTTGTACCGATTCATGTCGGAAAGAAAACCGACAAACCAAGGGGCATGCGCCTTAGTAGGCCCAAACGGTCAATATCTCACTAGTCTGGAGATGGCTGAAACATTCAGTTCAGCCTTCGCTAAACAGCTAAACAGCAATGTGGATATTACAGTTACGGACCAAAATGGTGGCACCACTATTTCAGAGGAGGAAGACCTAGCGACTACTCCCCAAATAAACCCCGCAATAGTACTAAGGAAGCTACAGCGACTCATACCTGGGAAGTCCCCAGGTTGTGATGACATCAGGCCATCTGTTCTGAAACAGTGCGCCGAGGCTCTCTGTAGACCCCTGTGCGACTTGTTCCAACACTCAATGGATTCGGGGACCCTGCCAAGGGAGTGGAAAAGAGCCATCCTTTCTCCAATCTTCAAGGGTGGGGACAGGCAAAACGCTGCTAGCTATAGACCAGTAGCTCTACTCCCAGTGGTATCAAAAGTACTGGAAAGTATTATTGACGACCACATCAGGGAATATTTCGATAGGACTAATATACTACATGAAGCCCAACATGGTTTCAGAAAAGGCAGATCCTGCGTCACTAACCTACTGTCAGCTTGGGACGACTGGACATCATGCTGGGACTTGAACGTACCAGTCCATGTGGTCTTCCTAGACTTTGAGAAGGCATTTGACACTGTTCACCATGACCTTCTCCTACATAAAATAAGCCAGGCAGGCATAGGTGAGCCACTTCTGTCATGGTTGAAGGACTACCTAGCCGACAGGCAATTTTGCACTAAGGTTAACCGAGTCCGATCATCTTGGCACAGATCGTCATCAGGAGTGTCGCAGGGTTCTATCCTAGGACCACTGATGTTTTTGATTTTCATCAATGATCTACCACGCCGTCTGAGCTGCCCGACTCTCCTGTACGCTGACGACGTAAAAATATGGAGGGCGATAAAGTGTCCGGAGGACTCAGATAGGCTACAGGAAGACCTAAACCTTCTGGAAGACTGGGCGGTGGCCAGTGGCATGACTTTCAACTTGAAAAAGTGCAAAGTAGTGAAGTTGCGCACCTGTAGACTGCAGAATGCAAGTTACACCCTGTGCAATGAAAGCTTGTCCTGCACAACGTCGGAACGCGACTTAGGTCTAGTTCTAACGGAAAAAATGGACACAAGCGTAAATTACACAGGGGATGTAGCGAGGGCATATGCGGTCATACACTTTACGCATAGACAGTTAGGTGCACTCACTCCTGAGCTCTTTCTAATGTTGTACAAAACATACGTCAGGCCACACCTTGAGGTGCATAATATTATTGCACCCCCAATGCTGAGAAGAGATGCCAACCTCTTGGAAAGAGTCCAACGACGGGCAACAAAAGGAGTGGTTGGTCTCCGAAACAAACCATATGATGAAAGGCTGAAGAAATTAGGCCTGTTCACACTTAGTTACCGTCGGCTTAGGGGGGATTTGATTACTGCCTACAAAATAACAAATGACCAGAATCACCCAAACAAAGGTGTTCTGCCATTGAGTAGGTATAGGCTTCCACGTGGAAATCCCAGAAGGATAGCTCACCAGAGGGCAAGGACCCGGGTGCGCTCCCACTTCTTTTCACTGCGGGTTTGTCGTCCCTGGAATTCCTTACCGGCAGATGTAGCTATGGCACCGTCTTTGGACGCCTTTAAGCGAAGGCTGGACAACCATGCAGCGATACAAGGACTGCATCCAAATGGCCTATCTCCTTAAAATCGCATTTACCAATCAGGGTAGATAATTAAACTCGTCATTTTACTTCTTTACATTCTCTCCCGTCTTACTCTCCTGACAACTTATTAATATTATAATTACTATTATTATTATTACTATATATATATATATATATATATATATATTATTCTTCAAACTTAATGAGCTGACTGTTGTTACGTTTCCTATTTTCGTTTCTGTCTCTTAGTCTGAATAGCTTCACTAATTATATCTATTATTATTATTACTTATTATTATTACTATCTCTTTTCTCTTGTCGACAATACCGAAGGACTAACTGGCGAAAGGATCAACTCCAATCACAGTAGTAACAGTCTTAACATACCTCATACTACAAACCACATATAATTAATCCCAGCACTACTCCCTTTGGAGTCAACCAAAGCTACGACAGTCGAGTGGCGGGACAAGCTACGCAGAAGTTTACCGAAGATCAAGAACCTATACCTCACAATCAAGAAGCGAGCACAAAGAAATCAAATTGGTTTATACTAGCTCGTAAAAACGATATTGGATATTGGAAATTACGAACAAATGCTATTTTGTAAACAATGCTTGTCCAAAGAAACAATTGAGCACCACCAATAGAACAAACACAGTGCTGATAATCTCCATGTAAATGAATCCAGAAGAACAAGAAGAAACCCCCAACAGTTTCTTACGAAACAACAAGAACTTTGAACAGGTAAATCTGTAAAACGCAGACCAAGAAATACGAGCAACTCCGGCGAAATATTAGCTCGGCTACCGTGGAGCTCCAGACGAGCTGGTAAGTGACCAACTTTCAACTAGACATTAGTTAGTTTGCCTAAATTATTTCACAGTGATTGCAAATGAACTTTGCCATTCAAGTTGCCGAAACACATAAAAATCTTATGAAATAAGGCGAATTCGTCTCATACTGCAAAAGTCGTTGTCGTTGCGTTATCCAGTTTTAATTACTCTCAGCTTGTTAATAAGAGATGATCAGAAACGTGAACAAAAGTTACCTTCACTCCTTTAAAAAATTACTTGGCAGGTACTTAGTCGTTTCACCCTAATTTCTTCTAACATTGCTATAGAAATTACTTTAGTTTTTGATCATTTAGTGGATGTAACTATTCCTACTGTATTACCCCTCTCAGGAGGTCGATGTGGAATTATCCAATCATCAAAGTTGATAAAATTCTGTCAGTCAGAATTCGTAAGTGCCCGCTGTGTCTATTGGTGTGATGTTATGATCCGCTGTACATTGTGTTGTATAGTGAAAGTAGGTTAAAGAATTCTAATTTTTAGATTCTACGTTTACTTACATTCATGTAGCAGTTATTTGTAATTGTATTTCTTAACGACCGAATTACAGGAGACCAAACAACAACACAAAGGGAGGAACTTTCAAATTCGTACTTCGCAGAATTATTTGCAGCTTATATAATTAATATTAACAAACAACAGTGCTCATTTAAGCAGTACAGTAACAGAAATTGTCAGTCACCGAAATTCATCTTAAACCTATTTTGTGTAATGTAGTTTGTTGTTTGTGTTGAATAACCTGTTTTACAATCAACATGCGTTTGCTTGGTCGTTAGTGGTGTCTTCGCTTAACCGACAATGGTGAAGTATATGGCTGTATTGGTGAGTTTGAGAGTAAACAGTACTTTGGACGTTGATGTGAAGAAAGCCTTGGTCAAGCAAATGTCTTAATGTATACTCTTGAAACCACCTTTTTTGGCCTCTACTCAACTACTTTATGAAGCCCTTACATAGAGTATTTTGTTAATTTCACACCTGCAATTAATTTTTTAACTTTCATTCTTGACCCTAAAATATAATCGCAATCTTTGTATCTATAATAATAAGCTTACTGGCACTCTTAACATCCTACTTTTCTATTATGTAACAAAAACGATCTCCATCTTCATGATAATTTACTGAGGTATTTGAAAGTCTTGACGTAATTATGCGAAAATTCTTTAAGGCTATTTTCAGCTGATCGAAACCACCGAAATAAAATGATATTACATTATCCTCCTTGTTTCTTACTCTTACTTTGTTTATGTTGATAAGAAGAAAGCACTACATCAAGCTACTGATGCCATGGACGACATTCATTCAAACGAAAAATAGTTTCGACCGTGAATTGCCACTCTCAGGGGACTAACTTCCTCATCTCATCTTCTGTTTCTGTGTCGTTCCACAGTTATTATTCTTTTATCTTCCATTTCGTAGTGTACACTCCTTATGTAGTGTAACGCCTTTTAGATTTTATTCTAAATTTAGTTGCAAACGATTCATATAAGTCGGTAGTATATCTCGTCCAAATCTTCTGCTTACTTTCTTCATTGTAATTATGCTATGAAGCAGATCACATTTGGTGGTGGTATCTAACAGCAGGCATCATGGTTGTTTCCATCACACTTTGTAATCTATAAACGGTAAATTTAATGCATGTCAGCATTTATTACAACTTCATTCTACTTAGAATGGTGATAACAAGTTTTTCTAATTTCCCACTGATATAATTTCAGATAAGTAGTATTGAATTGATGAAATATGGAAATATGAATAACCTTAGTTGTGCTGTTAGATGTAACCTTAACTTAAACATCTAAAGTCTTTCAGTGAGAATAAAGAAGAAAGGAGGAATATTATTTGTAGTTTAATTTGTGCAGTTTAAATATTTCACAGTTTTTAAGATTTATTAAAAGATAATCGTTATAATCGTCAGATGTAGGATTCAAAGTGAAATTTTAAATATTTAGTAATGGTCGTTTTACTGGTTGATATTCACTTTCGTTTTCTCTTCATTAGTTTCACTCTAATGTGGATCAACGCTATCCAAATCGGTTGTGGTAGCAGGTCATATAGAAATGCCTTTAAGTCATGACGAATATAACCATAGGTGAAGCTTTCTACGCCTAACATGTCCAGTGCACTTTTCACATATGTTTCTGCAGTCGGTATGAAAAATGTTGGCTTGTCAATCTTTGCCATCGGTGTAGCGACAAGTAGTGGACAGACAGTTTGTATTAGAATCTTTTTATTATAAACTTCTTCAGCAATTGATCTGGAAAACTGAATATCAAAGGCTTTTGTCGCTGAATATATCGAAATATAAGGAAAAACTTTTAGACCAGCGTAAGACGTCACGTTGATATTAGCTGGGTTAGGCTGTTTTTGTGATAACATTTTTGGCATTACTATGCGCGTCATTGTTGCTGTTGACAGTGTATTGCAATGGATGATGGTTTTGATGAAGTCCTTATTATTTGACCATGAAGATGATATGAATGAATCTGTTTCATGCGTCATTCCAACATTATTGACTAAACAGGCAACGGAGGGGAGTTTCTCAATTTCAGTTTCAATTGTATCATATACGTTATCCTGAAGAATGTTGAGACGGAATTGTTGTTAGTATTATGATTATAAATTTAAATCTACTGACTTTATTACACAAGTGAGATTTGATTTGAGGATTCACACAACCCCACTTTCCAACTGAATGGTAAAATATTCCCCTGAAAGGTGGATGGTATATTCCTATATGCACTTGTTGTGGAACATGATAGAGAAGGCTTGAAAGAATTGGATTAGATTGCTTCTCAATTTTCGAAACTTCTACAGTTATTTACATTCCGAGGTGGAAAGCATATTTGGGGAGAAGAGAATTAGCAATGAAGGCAGTTTTAATGTGTGTTGATGGGTTCATAGATTTGGTACGAGATTACCTGAGGACATATGATGCTGGAAACAAATTCGTGAAATAACCTACCTTAAGATTCCAGCTGGACTATGCTAACAAGTATCCTTACAAATAAGCTGTAACATATATTTCTGCCTTATAACTCTGAATACCGAATACAATTTTTCATTATCTAACCCATCTTACGTAAAAATGCATTATGATGAGTTTATTTACAAGGACTTTGCATGTGTTTACCATCCTGTCTGGCTATTACAGAAAATAATAAATAGTGAACCGACGTTTTGAAATTATCTCAATCTTTAAAAATGACATTTTAATTTCTCCAAATTTAAATAATTAGAATACCTAACATATGTGTAATTCATTTGTACTGAAGGCCTGGTAAAATTGCTCATATAAAGAATTTAGTTAGGCCGATTTTTTCGAAATACACTGTCACCTATGTGTTGGGCGACATTTTTATTTATATAGTTTATTCCAACAGATACTGCATCAAATAAAAACCTCGGAACTATAACGATAGACTGCTATTGTTCAGCCCAATAAAACACAAGCCGATGCTATTTTAAAAATATCTTTACAAAGAAATTATAACAACAAAGATAACCTAAATCAAAATTGTCTATGAATTGACCTCCTTTTCTAAAGAAAAATAGCCGCGTTTCTCTCTCTCTCTTCATATATATAGCCTGTATAGTAGATTCAAACAATGGACAAAACTGCGAGACAGTAACTGACGAATATTTGCTACACGACTGAAGATGCGTTTCAGGTCCATTAGTAACTTTTGAATTTTTATTCTGCTATGAGTACAAAGTGTGTTTTGTACTGTTGGCATGTATGTGGAGTACGTAACAATGTGATTGTACACTTTTTGGTTATTTGTATAAATTAGAGATATTGTACATGATTTTTGTTTAAAACGCTTCTTGTTGAAATATACATAACTTCCGTACACAATTGAAAAAATACACTCTGCTGTTGGAGACTTCGCCTTCTCCCTGGCTACTTCTGCTTACCTGCTCAAATCTCACCGTGTTGTATACTTCGGATTTATTGTAGGAGTCTACTACTCTCAACTAAAGACGTCTCTACAACCGGAACACAGCAGCTACAGCAGACGCAACCCAAACAATTAACGTACCCGTGGGTTATATAAATAATATGTAGCAGAGGACTTAAACTTTATATCCAAGTAATCCTTTTTGTTGATATAACTCATCATTGCATTTTTGGTAATATATTGTTATTTAACATTTCATTGACTTGGATTATATTTCTCATATTTGTAATATTAGTGAACTCTAATATTAGTCCTCTACATGTATCTTTACTCACTTTATTATTTCACAGTGTGACTTTGATGTTCGAATATTGAAACAAGAGATGAACAGGTTAAATTGTGGTGATCAGAGTAGTCTTTGCACCGGAGATTTCTAGGCGCTCTTTGCTCCACCAGTCGGTTTCTGAAGAATACTTTAAATCACCTTGAACCTTATGTGTATAACATATATATGAGTGCAGATTCTGAGCATATTCTATTTATTAGTTCTGGGGTTCCCTGTTAACCGATATCATATCTTCGTTTCAGGTATGTCATAAATTACTCTGTGCACATACTCATAATTTTATAAATTATGTGTGGCTGACAAGAAACCAATGAAATAGAATGATATCACTTTATTCTGTTACAATCGTTGTCATTGCTTCATTCAAGCAGTTGAAGCAGATCACGTGTATGAGGTATATCGGAGATGGTGAACATCATTTTTAAATCTGCTAGTTTATTCAATGTACTCCGATAGCACGAAATTCTTCAAACTGCAGCTTATTTTGTTGTGTGATATAGACAAAGTTATTGGAAAAATATTTTAATGAATAACAACCGTTTCTCACTGTCTAGACAGTAACTAAGACGCTACTGTAAACTTTTGAAATCATGGGATGCTATGCATAAAAATGTTTTGTATTCTCACCACCGAAGTTAACAGACTGTATCACATGAATGATACTTGAATATAGTGAGCAAAGATGAACAAAATTCTAAATTCCAACTTGCATTCACAAGCGCTTGGTTGAACTAATGCACCGATCGATACAGACTGTAATTTATTAACTTCCACGTTAAAAGTAATCTTCATATAACCGATTTTCCATGCTTAATTTCATGAAGCTTAACATTAAAAGATGTAATTTCCATATAAACATTTTGTTATCTAAATTTTCTACTACTGGAGGTCAATTTTTACTTGAAGAGGATGGAATGCTGCATTTTTATTTATTTCTGGAATGAATGAAAGAAATCAAGGAACAGTTCACATTTCACAATTCAACAACTGACTCACTCGCGATTATCACGGTGTAATGCCGTATTACTTGCATAGAAGATTTATCAAATTAATCAGGCATGTGAATCCACGCACTGAGCAAGCAGTCCTATTTTGAAATGAAATGTCCATTATATGCCCGTCTGATTCTACTGCCTGATTACATGTTGTATAATAAGATAAGGTTTAAGGAATATTAAAATGAGAAAGAATAGTTGTTTTTATTTGCTTGATGGGAGATGGCGTGAAATCTGTTGCATCCGTTTTGGCCCATCAAGCAATCCTTTCAGGAGTTGGTTTGCGAGCACGAATCGACCGATAGGGGTCAGTAAATTCATACAACACGAAATTCCAAACTTTCAGTAAAAATTACTCACGAGTGCTTTTGCCATAACAAAAATGTTAAAACTTACAATTGTAAAATCAGCAACAACAATTCTGGTTTCAGTCTTGTATTTGTTGAATAATTCACTGGCAACTGAGGATAATTTCTGATCATTTCTACCAATCAGCATAATATTTAAACCATCTTTAGCTGATTCGTCTGCATAGGCTTTACCAATCCCAGACGTTGCACCAGTAACTATTGCCCATTCACCAGCACGTTTCAAATGTTTCCTCTTAGAAAAACAATATTTTCCGACAGTAAATTTTAGCACGATAGCCAATAGATGAAGAACTTTTAAATGCAGCCAAAAGCCTATTAAGACGATAAGGAACATCCACCAATCTTCTGCTAATTTCTTCAAAATATCCTGAGTGTAGAGTCGAATGAAGGAAATTTGAAAGTGAAATAGGTAAGAATAAAATAAAGATGAATACAAATTAGTTGTGTTTGCTTATTTATTTTTAGTACAGTGCAAGTGAATTCAGCACTTGTTTAAAACCAATACTGACTCAACTACAAATGACCACTTTTTAGCTTGTTAGTTAGTAGTCTAGCAGAAATGGATAACTTGTGAACAGTTGATTTGAGTTCTGTCGAAACAATGATATCTGCACATCATCAGTTGATACTGTACTATTATTTTATACTTTAGAAACACCAGTCAAGATTCTAGAACATAGGCATTCCTTCCGGCGTCCAACAGTCATTATATTTCTTGACCTAAAGGCAGCATTCGACTCTGTCGATAGAGAAGTTCTCTGGAGATGCTTGGCTGTAAAGAGAATTCCAAGAAAATATATTGCACTGATTAAGGCACTCTACTCGTACTCATACAGCCAGGTGAGGGCTTACGGCGAGCTGTCATCTGAACTGGTGACGACCAGTGGTGTCCGTCAAGGATGCCCATTATCTCCTTTTCTATTCAACTTCATCATAGATGTGTTAATGGACTTAACCCTAGGTGACTTCAGTGACTCAGGGATTGACTTGCTACCGGGGAATAATCTCGTTGACTTGGAATATGCAGACGATATAGTCCTTCTAGGCGAAGACGCTGACGAAATGCAGAGTCTTCTAAACACCTTGAGCCGCAATCTACGAATGTTTGGCATGCGATTCGCTCCCGCCAAATGCAAGATGATGTTACACGATTGGACTACATCGACGCCTAGTTTAAAAATAGGAAGTGAAGTGGTAGAGCACGTTGACCGCTTCATTTATTTGGGAATTACCATCAGCCCCAACGGGCTGATCTCTGACGAGATCTCAGCACGAATACAAGGGGCTCGTTTCGCATTTGTTAGTTTACGCCGACTCTGGCGTAGACGAGATGTTCGACTATCGACCAAGGGGCGGGTGTACTGCTCATCAGTCCGCTCCGTCCTCCTTTATGGTTGTGAGACCTGGCCACTGAGAGTGGAAGACATGAAAAGACTAGCTGTCTTTGATCATAGGTGCCTGCGTTCTATTTCCCGTGTAAAGTGGCATAATAAGGTGAGCAACATGGAGGTTAGGCGTAGAGTTCTAGGTAAACAGGGGAAATCAATCGACGAAGTCGTGAAGCTACAAAGACTGAGATTGTTAGGACATGTGTTACGTATGCCAAGCCATCGCCTTCCTCGACGAGCAATGTTAGCGGATATAGGGTCAGGCTGGAAAAAGCTAGCGGCGGTCAAACAAAAACTTGGCATCAGACAATGAAATTCACAACAGTTGGTCTAAGCCACGTAGAAAGGTGTAGACTTCCTGGTTGGGGTCCTCGGGACGGTAAAAATCAATGGTTGGAAACAATTGGTGACATGGCTCGAAATCGTTCTCAATGGCGCAGATGCATCCACTCCTTGTGACTTATGATCTTCAATGAAACTGTTTTGTATTTCTTTATTACTCCTTTGTCTCACACCTCTGCTCACTGTTTCTATTATGCTTTTCTTGTACTTTCTTCTCTTGCTTCGCGTGCTACACGGAGTGTGGCGACTTGAACTTCCGCACATTTGTGCAAAGTTCTATGTCGAAAACAGACAGACAGACAGTCAAGTTTCTAGTTTCAGTAATAATATTCATTATAAGAAATAAGTTCACATAATTTATTTATCTAACTGTATAGCATTTTGACAATTTTAAGTGACTGACTTTTAATCAGATATCTCTACATGATCACTGATACACGTCTGTCTTTTATGCTAGTTGAGTCGCTGATTAGATTTTACTGTTTTCATGTCAAATTTCATCACCAGTTTCTATCTGCCACCTAATCATTGAAAACAGCAAGTAGCAGGGAGTTGTTTTTATTAGTCTGAGGCTCTCAGAAGAAGTATGGGGCAAATTAGACGGATTTGGAGATCATCCAACAGGTACTACTGGCGATCTTCAAGCCAAAACAGGAAAATTATCTATTTCTGTTCACTTCTATAAATGACACTATTTCATAGCTAAATCTACCTGAACATTAGTTTAACTCACAAGAATCTAAGATCTCAGTATCAACTGAATGAATTATTAATGACCAACTTGTAGATGGGTTGCTCAGTGGTCTACTCAAAATTTAGAGAAGTTCCTTTGGGAAGACTTTAAGTTGGGGGAAATATTCATTACAAATTGATGAGATTATAAATTGTCATTTGACCTTAGCATAGTAGATGAAAAGTAATTTGTCGACTTTTCAACGTACAATCATGGGTTAGTTCTTCCCTATAATTGATGATGTGATTTGATAGAGATTTCTAGATTAGGATGGAACAATTATCAAGTGCTCTTTTGTTTTGCAGTTTAACTAATCTACACATGAATCTTTTTTCATCTGATTTAAGTGATAAAACTGACCAAGTGCTACATAAACGGTTTTAATTATCTGGAGAGCGAACATTTAGGCCAGTTTACCAAAATAAGTACTCTGCACTATGACTAAACTCAGAACCACGACAGTATTTAGAGAAAATTTACCAAAATGTTTGTTCATATGCCACACAGAGAAAATCATTTTTGTCTAACTGGAAAGAATAAATTATGAAATTAACAAATAACCGATAATAACCATCACACAAGAGATAGATTTCGTTTGACTTCAAAGTCTGGAGTATAACCCCTTAGCTTTTACAACAATGTTTATTTAGAACATCAACAGATTGCATACAGATAATGAATAACAACTAAGGCTATACATATGTTTTAAAATTTGTTATTAACTCTTATCAAATGAATAAAATCAACATTTGGCTGATACGAATAAATTTTGATCTTAATTGAATTATAGGTTCAACAGAATTAACTCTTTAGGGACTGTGCATCGTTGGCACAGAGGTCAGGACGCTCGCCGACCATGCAAATGGTCCGGGGTTCGAACTCCGGCCGACGAACTCCTTTACCTCGCTAAGCCTGGAATAATGCTGATAAAGAGGAAAGGTTGGGCATGAGGCAAGCAATCCCATCCTGTAAAAATAAACACTGCTACAGAAACTTCAAGCCACTAGCTTGAAGCCCTATGTTCCACTGGGAACGTGAAGGAAAAAAACTGTTTAGGGGTGTTAGGCAGACAGTTTGATTCGATATGAGTGTGGTGATCTGTTTTTTGTCGCTTACCTTATTTTGATGGAAAATTAGGAACTTGACAGTGGCATAATTTTTCATCTATGGATCTAATGTATCTACAGTCTTCTAATTCTGTAACAATGTCAGTTGTGTTTCATTTCGATGTTAGTTAAATGAGTTATTAATCTTGAAGAAACATGAGTTTATTCATTAATGCAAATAAAAATCACTGATGACTGGTTAAGGCAATAAAACTGACTAGTGTATACTATCTGACATGGAATTTTCATTCATTCACACAGGAAATTTGGTTGTATAGAACTTCTGTCTGTGATAACTATTTTGGCACAGCCATCAAAATTATGTGATTCAAGTGAATAGTCTGATTACACTGGCTGGAAAACAATTTATCTGTGAAATTGAGATTCATCACCTAACGGTATTCGAGTATTAAGATAGTCCTAAAAGATAGTGATCCTTTCTGACCATTTCTTGGAATAAGTGACTGAGAATGAATGTTAATTTTGAATCGTAAGATAGCCGAAAAGATGTACGATTTGGGCAGGTAGTGAGCAATCAGATCAAATAAGCCAAGATGTGTGAATTTTTCTTTGTAACGGAAAACCTGCTTCCAGCTAATCACCCCACCCCCCGTACAGCTAGTCGTGATATATGGCTGTGATGATAGACATTATAAACTATTAAGTCGTAGACTAAGAACCCAGCATGGCCGATTTTCAGAGTAGATGTGGAAGACACCATGACACTCTTACATGTCTCTTTTCAAAAATAAGTAGTTTAACCACTGTACTTTCATGATAATGGTAAGTATTGTGCCTATGACAGCCACCTTTTCTGGTTTTATTGCTATTCAACGGACCTTTCTAATATGATAAGACTTTTAGGAGTGATTATTTTAAGCAGTTTACTCGGTTAAGTCATTGCAACGTGGAAATCCAACCACCATATCAAGCTAGTCAACAGCCTGCTATTTTCTTGCCTTTCCCTTAGACGTGAGAAATGGTGTGTGGCAAGGTGAACTACTATATTGACAGTACTGTTTAAATAGAAGGGATACGAGCACAGGGAAAAAGTTTCTATCCAGTGTGATCAAAGACATCAACTCAAGATTATTATTATTTTATTCCTTTACGTTCCCAGTGGAACATAAGGCTTCAAGCTAGAGCTCTGAAGTTTCTGTAGGAATGGTGTGCGTTTTTACCGGATGAGGTTGCTAGCTTCATGCCCAACCTTGCCTCTTTACCAGTCTCATTACTGGGTTAGTGAGGCAGGGGCGAGCGTCGCCGGGGATCAACCCCCGAACCATTTACCTGGTCGGCGAGCATTCTATCTCTGTGCCACCGACGCACACCAACTCAAGAAATGAAGTGAAATATCTGATGGGTACAAAATAATAGGATGACGCAGGCGTATAGCCCCCTTTGCTTCAAGGCGTTTGTTCAAGTAAAAATTTCAGTCATAAACAGGAAATAGAGAAAATCAAATTGACCAGTATTGTTCACTCAGTGCCAACCTTTTTCAAACTATTTAATCTGGGCTAGACTTGTTCCGAAAATTACAATATATATGGAATATCTAACTATAACAAAAACAACATTGGCTAATATCAGTAAAGCAATGTAGCAATAAACCTGAAGTTATATCACGAGAATATGCCAGGTACAGAATTACATGAGAACGGGGAGTACTGGGTAGCGCTTTCATCCTGGTTTGAAACTCTTCAGCACTAGCTATTCATGACCCCGTATCGAAAACATAACTGGAAAATTAAAAACAATGCGAACT